GCCGTTATACAGCAAAACAGCTCTTTAGCATTTGAAACAGAGAATCATCTGCTTATAAGCTCGAGGCATTTAAGTATGAAGAACGAAGTAGCTCTTAAATCTAGTCTTGAAACAGCTCTTAAAACCGGTCTAGTTATTCTGACCCAGTGTTTTCCCTCCGCAGGTACCGTGGTGTACGGGGAACCTATCACAGCCAGTCTGGGGACCGACGGCACTCACTACTGGAGCAAGAACTGGGCCAAAGCTGCAGCCTACATCACATCTCCACCCCTCAGCCCCGACCCCACCACCCCGGACTATCTCAACTCCCTGCTGGCCTGGTGTGTGTCCGCAGCTGCTCTAGTGCATTATGGGACATAGACTGCAGGGGGTTATTTGGACCACAGTGAGTGTGTGCAGAGAAGGGTTTAGCCATTAGAGAAGAACATTTATGGGTGATCACTAGAGGGCGCCATTACACAAAGAATAGCTTTTCTCTCTACTTATTCTTATGACAAACTAAGATACAATACAAATGACAATGAAAAAACCCTTTACTGGGTGGAAGTAGTACAAATAATACATACTGTGGTAGAAATTCTATGGTTATTATAGTTAAATAAAACTAAAATCATAAAAAAAATATATATATTTTTTTTTTTACTTGAAATATAATAAATGCTAACTGATGTAAAAGATAAGGGGAAGAATCTTATCTAGTAACTGATCACATTTTTTTTTTCATTATACTTAATCAACTTTTTGATGTTACTAATTAATTTCAAATATTTATGTGGTGCTACAAATAAATGTTTAGAAGTATGAATATTTAATGTAGTCTCTCAGTTAATATGCAGTGCTAAAATTGCATGTATAATAATGATAAAATAATTAGCTAAATGTTTTTTGTGGTGTTACAAATAAATTGGCTAAATATTTTTAAAATATAAAATAATTAGCTAAATATTTTTAGATGTAGTTCAGATTAGATGGAGTTTAGCATGTCACACTACCTTCCAAAAGCATTTTATGTCAGCTAGCAATATACTGTGGTACTGAATGGTTGCTTGATGGTACACATGCTATTGAAAAGTTTAAGTATACCATGGTATTGTATTGTCAAAAAAAACAAAAACAACAACATATTGCCATGTGCAAAAGCATTACAGTTTGTAAGTGTTTTGTGTGTGTTTTGCGTGCAGTGGTGATCTGCAGGTGACTGGCAGTGCTCACTGCACCTTCAACACTTCCCAGAGGGCCGTGGGCAAGGATAATTTCACCTTCATCCCGGAGGGAACTAACGGTACTGAGGAGAGAATGTCCATCATCTGGGACAAGTGTGTGGTGAGAGATGATTTATCTGCTAATTAATATTATTACAGATCCAGGTTATATGAGACACGAGGAGTTTATGCATTTGTTACTTTGTAAGCATTGGTTTATGCATTTG